CAAATCCTGGTCTTTTGTGCTTCAAAAGTTAGAAAATTTCCAAAATAATACATATACTATATTGCAGAAGTCTAATATATACATTCTATTATGTAATCATATCATGGATTCATTGAGAGCTTAGAGAGATCAAGTTTTTGTAATTAAAGAAACTAGAAACTCAATGATAAGAAAACAACTCAATCCCAATTCTATTCAGGAGTCATGACAAGTTAAGTTGTCACACTCTGATTGAGCAATCAAACCAAACAAATAATGTAGAACATCAGAACATATTTGAAGCTAAGCAGAGGAGAATCTGATGCGTTAGTCTAATATAGAAAGTACATATGCTAAAAATAGTTTGGAGGATGTGGACAGTGCAGAGATAAACAAGAGCCATATACCTACATCGCGTGAATACGGATTGCATATTTGAAATGTGTCTTACTGGAGGATTGTCAAGTAAAAGAAATTTACTAATCTTAGTTTATAGCATACTGCTGAAGTACATCATTTACGTGCTTGAACTTATAACTAAACAAGGGGAACTAAAGCCACTAGTTAGATATGTTTGTCAAACCCTCCTTTAACATATGATGCTGGCAAATCAAATAGTGGTAAGTGGCCTACTGCTGTTTTAGATATATACTTGCAGAACTACTTAGAACCACATACTGTGAATTTCTTTCATTTTAACTTTCATCTAATATAAAGTTATTACAAATCAAGTACTAGCCAACTCATTTTTGTAACCGGAAGAAACACATGTCTTAAACTTATAATATAGTAGGAAACACACTATTACATAGCTAGACTGCTACAGCTATAGTGGGAAACACACTATTACACACTATTACATAGCTAAACTTGTATACAAGAAATAGAACAAACTTTAGCTAAAAAATCTGCCAAAAAGTAATATCAGGTTATGTAGAAACATCAGATAAGATTCTTACCTGACATATACAGCATGGCTCCAAGTTTGATGAGGATCGTCCATATACAGACCCGTGCTTCCGCTGTTTTATATGGACCGAAATGGTTTCTTCACTCAAGACTGTGTTTACATTTCCTATACGTTCTTCCAATGCCAATAGTTCCTAATATAGACGAAGCAATCAGTGAGACTCGCATCTCGAAATTTAGTGACAGCATAAATGAACTATATTACCTCATAGGACATGTTATCAACATCGAGCCTCATGTCTCTATGCCTATCATGGAACTCAACAACTCTATTGATAAAAGGATCAACCAACATATAATCCTGAGAAACGAAAGAAATGCAAATAATTACATAAGAAGTGTCCAGAAAAATTGTCAGGAGTTGCATTCACTAATAAGAAATCAATACATAAAGTGGCCAAGCAAAATTGACCACTTAGCCTTATAGCCTAAGCATGTAGCATAATTTACCTAAAAAATTAATTGAATTAGACACGATTCTTTTGTCCAAATGAAAAAAATTCATAAACTTGTAAAAGCTAGATTGCTGGCTTTTCTTCTTTGCCTTTTGATTATAGGAATATGAATACTATAAAGAGACCACTAAAAGTGAGCTTCTCTAAGATCTGCATACCATAAAGCTAAGCAACTTAAAGTAAATTCACTGATATTTAAGTTAATTAATAAATAAAAGTTAATTAATTAAGCAATCATAAAGCTCACTAATATTTTGATATTTTTTGATGTACTTAATAATTTTTGTTAAAGCTATGCACATTTGAAAATATTAATCTATGAGCACAGAAAGGAATAAGGCCAAAGCTATATAAGGCTTGCATTAGAAATTAGCAAATCTGATATCTAAATATGACACATAAACTATCTGATCATCTTTTCACATTCTCTATTGTATAAATTAGTCCTTCAGCATCTTCAAGTCTCAGACATCATTTGTTAGTAACACAATCTTTATGAAGTCTCTTATGCTATATTTGAGTTATATGCCCAAAACTACCTCCTCAAAATTAATATTCAGAACATCCGATCTTTGCAGAGGACAAAGAGTGTTCTAAGATTAAATTGGCGGCCATCACAGGAATCAAGCAGTAAAATGAAAGGTTAACTAAATTACAGTAACAATTTTATATATCTCAAATGCACCGGAGGGGTGCCTTCCAACTCCAGGTAAGATCCCACGACCACATCCAGATGCAATTAATTGGGATACATTGTACCAAAAATTGTTACAGTTCTTTTGTATTTATACACAGATGGGAGCAAACTAAAGCCTAGTATGGCAATATAAAAAAGTGATCAAACACGCGGACAGACACTTCAGGTTGACTTTTAACTATAATACATATAGATTCCATGACTTCTATAGTTATGCTTCGGGTCCTCTGGATCCAAAGAAATGAACAAAACAAAATAGCTTGCTAACTTTTGGTTAGTAAGAGCGATCAAGAAACCAATACACATTTTATTTTACATTTCTTTAGACTATCAGAGATAATAGACAAAACAAATATGTGAAGTTCCAGACATACCAAATAAAAATAAAATTGACTATTTGAAGAACACACACATAAAATAAATCAAGAAAAATCAATTTAAATAGAAGTACTGATGTCGAGTTAACAGGATGAAGATTTCCAGCTTATAGGTTCATCAAAAAGGATACTAGAAGCAAAATCAAACGGGGGNCAAATTGGGGGAGGGGGGGGAGCGATAGGGTTTCTGCAACTCCAGCCGCCCCTTTGGCAAGGACCACAAAGTTTCTCGCCATCGTGGTAATCGTTGCAGTTCTAATTCAACATAAAATTCAAAAAAAATGCCCCCGAAAATCAATTGTTCAGAATCTAGAAGCAAAGTCATACTGAGCAAATTCTTTGTCCAAATCAGACATCGAAAAAGGGAGATAAAAATTCTTCAAACTCTTCGATTAAACAATAATGCCAAATAAAAATTGAGTACCATTGGTGGATGGAGGCATCGAGTACTTACTTGAACAAAATCTATAAGGATAGAAGAAGATAGATATTGTTCTTCTATGTGGTTTTGAAGCCCTAGCCTTTTGCTAGTTGAATTTTGGTTTGTTTATAGGAGTAGAGAGAGAAGTGAGGGAGATAAAGCGAGGTAGAGAGTAATTTTTGGGCTAATGCGCAAGCATAAGTCGAGAGAGATTGCAATCTGCATTTGAAAAAATAAATCTCTCTAATGCATAAAATTGAAGGAGGGAACAGGGAAAAAGATTGGAGGGAAGATGAAAAATTGGTGATTCCCGGCATAACTTTTACTGGCCAAGCATTTCAATTGCCAGCGAGAGGATTTATCGCTGGCTATCAATCATTTGTCAGTAAAGATTTTACTTAAAGAATAACTAGCGGCTGTTAGTTTATTGCCACTAAATATTAGTCGGTAAAAGTAATTTTTGTTGTAGTGTCTGTGTTTCTTCTTCTTCCTAATTCGTGTAACATTTTTGGTTCTTCACGTTCTTCTTTTGCAAAAATAGAAGCAAAATTTAATATTGGCACAATTACCATCCTCAAAATGTCAGCCACCAGAATAGCTAACTCTTAGCTGATGCAATTTTCCCTTTCCCAAAAAAATACACATTCTACGCTGGGCTCAGTGATTAGACAAAAACTAATCCAAGTTATTCCAAGGTTTAGGCAAAAATACGTAAATGCACATGTTTATAACTGGACAGACTTCAGAGCTAACAATACTTTTGTAACGGTGAACCAAGAACAGAGAAAACAATAAGTCTCTTTTTCAATTCACATGACGTCAAACCAGCATGTATGACTAATCAACCTAGATAATTATTATGTGTCTTCCAGGATTTCTAAGCAAACTGCAAGGCCAATTATAATTTGCACCTAGCTTCCATCGGGGTCGGGGTAAGGTTTGCATACACATTATCCTCCCCAGACCCCACTTGTGGGATTTTACTTGGTCGTTGTTGCTTCCAACTTAAACAAGGTTGCTCATTAATTTGTGATACAACTTGCTCCAAAGATCATGTCAAATAAAGGAAGATAGTAAAATTGAATGCATAAAGCTGGAGGAAGACCGAAGAAGTCCCTATAGTTAAAGCATAAATAAAGAGACCTTCTAACTGCAATGGGACATCATGCCCATCAAAAGAGAAAGAAGAAAAAGAAAAAGAAAATGCAAGCAGGAGTTTGTGGATACAACTTTATCAGACATCCATAGAGTCCAAAGTAATTCATAAAATTTGCATAGCTCATCTTGTTCTCCCACCTAGACAATTATTGTTCTGAGAAGTACAAAAAAATGCCAATACGACAGTGAAGGGAAATAATTTCAACAACTTCTTTTAATCGGGTAATAATTTTAATATTATAATGTACATCTTCCTGCTTTACTTCCTTTCAACCCTTGGCTGCTTTCCTCTCTTCCTATCATTTGCATACCAGGTAAAATTTTGAGCGTTGTCTAACTCGGAATGCTGAATTTGAATTTTCAAATAAAATGCAATCAAATATTAGACCAAAGCAAGTCATGATATTCTTACAACCATCTTATTCTTTTTCCCAGCAGATAAAAGGATAACTTTGTCATCGACAATGTCATCCGCCTCAATCTTCTTACTCTCACCATCAACTTTGGCATTGTTCAAGTAAAGCCCTCCTTGCTTAAGCATTCGTCGAGCAGCCGATTTGCTCTCAAGCAAACCACTGGAAACATAAAGATCCAAAATCGGTATGTTCAACACCTGATCATAATTCATGGAGCAAGACGGAACATCAGCTGCAATACCCTCAATCGTTTTCCAATCCAATTTGGTATCAGCATTTCCAGGCTTCAGTGCCTCTGTGGCCTTAAGAGCCTCTTCCAATCCCTCTTGTCCATGAACAAACCGTGTAACCTCTTCAGCCAGCCTACGTTGAGCTGTGTTAGGAACCATATCCCGGTTTTTCCCATATCCCCTCTCCACC